TTCTTAGCACCCAATAAATGGCTCTGGGCATTTGTAAACCACGCCTCAAATACAAGAAAATGAACATGTGGTTCCCAGACCCAAGTTTCCACTGCCGGGCCAGGGCAGAGCCGTGCTAGTGCGTGCCTGGGCCAGTCGCGTTTCCACTGTCACTTCCGGGGCTTGGTCGGGGCTTACTCGGGGCAAACGGCCAGGATTTCTGGCCCGTCGAATACCTTGGGCCAGAGCGGGCCAGCTCGGGCTAGAGGCGTGCTCAAGGTAAAAGGCGGAGTTTATCGGTGTTATGGAACGTTATGATCTGAAGCAAGATGCACATTTCACTTTTTTATATCGCGCAAAAAAAACGCTGCTTGAAACAGAGAATCGCCTGTACTTGTCTGTCGAGGATACCACAGCTCTTCTGAGCATTTGGGCAGAAGAAAGGGTACGACGTCAATTTGACGGTTGTGAAGAAACGAGGATGTTACAAAACACATCGATGCTGAACTTTCTAAGCTAAACATTCAGCGAGCAACGCTTCAAGTTCAGGAAAAAATAAAAAAGTTGCGGGCGCAGTATTGTACAAGGCGATTAAAATGCACAATGGACAAAGCGGAGTTCAGGGACGGATTTTTCCATGGTTCGACTTGTTAGTGGTGAATCGCAAGACAATCGGGACACTATTGCAGCCACGGCCGGTGAGTTAATATACATGTTCTCTTCCTATTCATAATTCATAATACCCGCTGAAATGGGTTGGGTTGTATGACGTTTGATCCAGAAAGGCGTGTTAGGGGCGGGGTTTAGGGCAGCGCTGTGGGGCTACTGGCCCGGCAGTGGAAACGCAAGCCCGGTGCTTGGCTCGCTCGGCTCGGCTCGCTGTTAGCTCTGGCCCAGCCCTAGCCCGGCAGTGGAAATGCGGCTAATGAGACTTGGGTCTTACGTTAGCCAGGCTAATGAATTATAGGCCTATAATTAAAATGATCAACAGTCTGTAGGCTAATATTTCCAAAGACTAGAATAGTTAGTCAAAACAGATTTATTTCAAAAACAGTTTGTTTACCATGGGCATTGTTTATCAAATGAATAAAAGAGGAACGGTATCTACATCGCAGGTGAAGACGTGGGTAATATATGGTTTATCCATTTTGCAACACGAACTGGAGGTAAGCAACCGTAATTTGTAGCTAGTTTGATAGCAACAGAATTTAAGATCTCCCTATTTTAGTTTTAATTCTTGCTGCAGATGAAATGGTTAAACTTCTGTTTTCCCACAGGCGCAGTGAGTTTTGGGGCATGTCAAAACACACAGTTTTGGGTTCGGTTCGTAGCTTTGCTTCAACTGTGCGAGATAGTCACAAGAGCAATCCCCCTAGAGCAAACTGAGGTTAAGTGCCTTGCTCAGGGCACAGTGTTTTTAATAAAGTTATAATTGTTTTTGGATAGTGCAGTATAGATGATACAGGGAGCAGTTAGGAGGAGAAAAAAGGGAACAAGATCGGAAAACGACCTCAAGCCGGAACTCTTGAGTCACCTTAGTTGCCGTTTTTTTACTACAATGTTTAAGACTCGTTTAGCCCAAGCTGTGCTTCTGATTTGTAAACACTTAATAAATAAAAATAAATAAAAAGTGAGAAGACTCTCTCAGTCAGAGGCATGATGTTTATTAAGTATAAATTAATATAGCAAACCACTGACAGAAATTTTGAACTGTGTTTGTTTTCCTTTATATGCAAGATAAATATCATCAGTTACTAGAGCCCATATCATTTCATTTCAAATAAAAAAACACATTTACACATTACAAACAAACATTGAAAGAGAGCCAAAGACAAGGGACATCCAGAATGATTAGTTATTTTGTCCTTTTTTGTACCTCTCATTGCAGTAATTAGTTGACGTGATAATAGAGCCCGATCTCATGGAAGTTCGTATCTATAGCACGAATGTAATTTCTCGTGCCATTTATACGGCAAAAATAGTTTTTGCGTGTATATGGTAAACGTTTTTCGCTTGCATATAATACGCACAAACTCCCCACTCCCCTCCCCCCTAACCTAGCCAAGGGGTTTTCAGTGCGTAGCATATGCACACAAAAAACATTTTTGGTGTAAAAATGCCACGAGAAATGACATTCGTGGTATAGATACGCACTTTCATGAGACTGTGTTGGATATTATTGTCATTGATGATGTATTTCAATTTGGCTGAAAATAGTGCACAAAATGTGACTTTCCCTCTGGTTGTCCATGATTCCTGAACATGATTCAGTGTCATTTGAACACACACTGGGCTGCTGTAAAGGACAGATAAACAGATGTACATGAACATGTACAGTTGCCTTCATTCTGCACCAGACCAGAAGTGCGAAGCATTCCTGAAATGGCCTGCTGTATATGTGTTGGTGTGGGTTGGCTCATGTGATGGATTGCTCACATAAAAACTCAGATTCCTTTGCTGTGGATAGAGAGACTTTTGTACTGTAAGTCAAAAGAAATTTCAAAAGTCCTCTGTTGGATTTTCCCTGATACAGCAGCTGAACTTTGCTTTCAGTGGCTGTTTTAACCCCCAAGACCAGAAATAGATGTTTGCTTTTTACCCTTTGTTAGAAGTGTAACGGTACACAAAAGTTGTGATCTGATACATACTACCTCGGTTTTGAAGTGACGGTTTGGTGTGTGTTCAGTAAAACATGTACCGTGACAACTTTATCCTTTGCACAAATTTATTTTGAGTACTGTTCATTTGGACTTCACCGGTTGACTCTTGTCCCTCTTTAAAGCTGATAGTGCTCCAAACACCTGTAGAAAGGTCCCGGGGTCATGGCCCCTGTGCTAACAACCTGATTGACATCACTTCCAGGTTTAGCATTCAGGTTCCGTCTTTCTGACGTCTATTGTGAGATTGTGAACTAGAGGTCACGCTGTTTTCCAGCACAGATAGCTCTGAGCTGCATCCTCTGGATTACTGAAAAATAGTGAATTCCCTATGACTGGTCATGAAGTGTGTCTCTGGTCAGGAAGAGCATGTGTGTATGATTTTCATGCTACCATCCCTGGTTGGTCATTTGAGGGGCTTTGGGATGTCCTGTGCTCTGATGTGATCATAGACTGGGGAAGGAGGTGTTTAGAACAGTTTCCTGGCTTTGTGTTGCATATGTATATGTGCGTGTTTGTGCATGTGGAATTAGAGGTCGACCGATTTTGGATTTTACCGATAACGATAGCTAGGTTGGGCTGTACTTGCCGATAACCGATTAATCAACCGATAGTTTTTAAAATTGATACTGGATAAAAACAAAAATAACACTCCAAGTAAAACAGTGCTGAACTTTATTATAAAAATACAAAAAACTGTATGAACCATGAAAACATGTCAATAAAAGGCATTCTTTCAAAAAAACAAAAAATAATACTCTAAATAACAAATTAAACATTCCAAATGTAGCTGTTTAACTGTTCTTTTTCAAGCCAACCTAATGAATAAAAAAGACGTTTCAAATAATAACAAAATTTGCCATCTGAAAATAATTTAAACATTAAAATATGTCAAATGTGTGTTTCTTTAGCTATAACATGTTGCAAGTCCAATTTGTTAACAATGATTTATTAGCTGGTTTACATGAACTATGTGCATTATGCAATATAAATGTTTACAGCATTAATATTTGAGCAATACAATTTCACCTTGATCATTCATGTTAATTCATAGAGTTTTAACTATGGTTAACAAATAAAAACCTTAATTTAAAAATGTAGTATGTTAATTAACAAACAATGAACAGCAGTTATTAACCTTAGTTAATGTTATTAATGTGTTAACCAGCGACTGGCAATTTCGGGGCTTTATTACTGTCGGTGGTTCGGGGGGCTCCACTATGCGCTGCTCTGTCTATTATTGGTCCAACCTAATAAAAACGCCAACGGTCCGTGAAGCATAGCCTATATGAGTTGCGTATTTTAGTTCCACTTTCATTTTGTTTGTATTCGCTGCTAGGTAACGTGTCGATAGATCGCTTATTGCTCAGACGCACATCAGGTTGTGATATTTGTCTCCGTCTCACTCCGTCTCTCATGTTCCCACAGACGTTTAATCGCGCTATTCTTGTCACGGATTCATTGACTTCCACGCTTACCATGCGTTTAACGTGTGGCAAATTTACCGGTCGCACATGTGCGACTGGATGTAAAATTCAGTCGCACACTCTCAAATTTTGGTCGCAAAATGCGACTATTTGGTCGCAGTCTGGAGCCCTGTATTTTATAGAACCTAATGAATATTTAATAAAAATAAATATGTATTAAAGTGATGGTGAAAAAAGAACCGAAATCGAATGCTTCTCTGATTCGTTTGTTTTTGTCGGCTGTATGAACATATCAGTTTGCTATCATACGTCTCTAGCTTATATGCAACGTCGCTGCATAATGAATGCATCAAAGTGACCAGCTGGATATAAACTAATGCAAATAGATGGTAACAATTTGTGACATTAAACATTCGGGTCGGACTAAGGTGTATTTAGTCAACAAATTCATCAGTTTATAATGATATGACACAATTTCCCGTGTGCATACCTTTTCGCTGTCCGTGCTTTAGCATGCGCATCAGATGTCAGCGATCTCCACTCTCCACACAGCGCGCGCTCTCAGTGCAGCGCGCAGTGTCACGTGTCGAAATAAACAACACGAGGCATCAGTTGATAGTTTTTATGACACCTCTAGAGGCCGCTCTTGTACTGCATGATGCCAGCATACCCTTCTCAGCTCTCTCTGTGTAATGAATGACAGCGCGCACTTCTCAGCCGCCCCAGCAACGGACGAAACCAGGAAATAACTATCGGTGCGGATTTTTGCCGATAACGATAGTTCCACCAATCAACTATCAGTGCCGATTAATCGGCAAATCCGATGAATAAAACATCGCTCCCCCCACACTGACTTTAACTTGTGTTGATGTTATGTGAGGCATGTCACGCATGTTAACACCCTAATACAATTGTATTCTTTCCTTTTTCCCTCCAGGTTTTTCAAGGAACTTGAAGATCGTCACCAGCAAAACATCGTAATCGATGACATAAGTGACATTGTTTCAAGGCATGCACAGGCAAACTTTGACCCCTATGTGACATACTGCTCGAATGAAGTGTACCAGCAGAGGACCCTGCAAAGGCTCCTGTGAGTACAGCACAATAAACATAACTCATCACTGATTAAACTGAAAGTCACCTCTGACTTTTACCCTTTAGCCCAGCAGATCTGAAGCTTTTTTTCTGGACAGAGATCACATTTCTATGAAGCCTCAGAGTAAAAATAAAAAGAGTAATTGTGAAATGAAGTTTAAAAGAAGAAGAATTAAACAGTCACATTGCGAGAAATGAAATCAAATGGCAGTTGCAATATCACATTGTGAGATATAAAGATAGAAAAGTATGAGAAATTACATTGCAGCTGTGAGATTTGAAGTCACAGTCGCATTTAATCACCATTACAAGATACATAGTAACGCAACATACCCGTGCAACTTTGTTTAATTCGTAGTTGCAAGTCACATTGCGATAAAAAAGTTGTAGATATTGTCAGGATATGTTTAACAATATGTACATTGTTTCTTTGAATTGAAACATTGTCTCAAGAGACACGATTATGAAAGAGGCAATTCCATTTGGGATCACATCACACTCTGTGGCTCATCACTAGTTTAACAGTCTGTTTATGCCTTCAGAAATAAAAGCTCATCCTTTAAGGAGGTACTGACTGGGATCGAGGCCCACCCAGACTGTCGGAACCTTCCCATGATCTCCTTCCTCATCCTTCCCATGCAGAGAGTCACACGGCTGCCCCTGTTGATGGATGTGAGTGACATTATCCCTTTCCTTCCCGTTCAGACCCAGCTGCTAATATCTCTAACACTGACATAAACATTCAGCTCTTTTGCAACTGCATTCTCAATCTTCTGACATGTATCTTGTGCTTTGATAACATAAGCTGAATCTCTGTGCAGACCTGCCAATCCATATGCATTTTGTGTAGCGGATACGCATTTTGACCTCAAAGTATGCTGGTACGATTTGTCACTTTAAACTACACAAAAACCTGGTGACACCTCTGTGCACGCGCAGTCCTCAAATCAAGCTACAGAAAAATAAGCGGAATTCGACCAATCATAGCGCTGGGTTCATTCCCAAAATAGCAAGCGGTTATGAATGACAGATGCCTATCATTAAAAAAGGGACAGCAATAAAGAATTCCGCTCAATCCCGCTTCCACTCCCGCAGCGCACCGTCTGACTGAGTTCATAAGCAAGGACGCTAGTCACAGTACTTCTGACTCCTGAAGGTAAACGGGCTGGGCTGGATCTGGATCTGGAAAGTTGAAATATTGTTTTTAGTTAACTTAATCTGGATTCGATGATCACACGTGATTGTTCACAATCGCATGGGTTATCTTAAAATACTCCATAATTCATAGTCACTCAGATAAGGGGAAAACATCATTCAGCCATGCAAATTATAAAATGCTTAAAGGGACACTATGCAGTTATTTTAGCTTAATTTAAAGGCCACCTATTATGGAAAATTCACTTTTACATGGTGTTTGAACATAAATGTGTGTTGGCAGTGTGTGAGCAAAACCACCCTAGAATGATAAAAATCCACCCAGTGGCTTTTTTACAATCTCAATAAATCATATGCACTGTGTCAGAACGAGCTGTTCTGAGATCCAGCTCTTTGTGACGTAGAAAGTGAGAAAGGGGTTTGATTGACAGTGTGGTTGTGGCATAGACCCCGCCCTCGGTGATCTGTACACACACACATCCTCCATTGTTTCAACGACAGCCGGTAATGTCTCTTGGAAACGTAAACGTTCTCTCGTGGGTTAATCCTGTTGTTGTGGCTTAAAGGACAACTCCGGCGCAAAATGAACCTTTGGTCTAATTACACATTGCTACCTAGTCAACCGTTATCTGAGATTTGTTTTCATGATTGCCGAATGTAAATAGTTTTGTCTCTAAAAACAGTTTAGCCTATAACGCTAGTATATGGGCCGTAGAGTAATGACAAATAAAAATCGCTTGTTATTACCACTAACAAGGCTCAAAATAGCACCACACCAACACGACGGCATAACAAGGGTCCCTACATTCAAACCGAAGCATTGAGAACTTTGTCAGTATCCATACAGTTTAATAAGAAGATATTTTATACACACAGTCAACTTCGCGAATACAGGAAGAAGCCATCTTGGAAAAATAGTCTCTACCAGTCGATCTACGAACACCGATCCAAGTGCGCTGAACTGTGCAGAAGCTCATATGGTCCGTTGTTTCCAGAAGAAACACAAACACAAACCGTTTACTTGTCTTCAATATGTACTACTACTGTTTGCGCTCACCTTATCACCTTATTCACATCTCACCAGCGCACTTGGATTGGCGTTCGTAGATCGACTGGTAGAGACTATTTTTCCAAGAAGGCTTCTTCCTGTATTCGCGAAGTTGACTGTGTGTATAAAATATCTGCTTATTAAACTGTATGGACACTGACAAAGTTCTCAATGCTTCGGTTTGAATGTAGGGACCCTTGTTATGCTGTCGTGTTACTGTGGGGCTATTTTGAGCCTTGTTAGTGGTAATAACAAGCGATTTTTATTTGTCATTTCTCTATGCCCTATATACTAGCATTATACTAGCGTTATAGGCTAAACTGCTTTTAAAGATATAAAACTATTTACATTCGGCAATCATGAAAAAAAATCTCATATAACGGTTGACTAGGTAACAATGTGTAATTAGACTAAAGGTTCATTTTGCGCCGGAGTTGTCCTTTAAAAGTTAATCCTCAACTGTGGATCGTCGTCTACTGTTTGCGATCCACCGTCACATCCAGTAACAGTAAGTGTATTTTATGATTTTTGAGCAAATAGTCTTTTCAGTCAATGTCAGCCAATTCAACAACAAATGCGTCTAAAGTTGTTGTCGTCGTAGGATGTCTGTGTAGGCTATATAATTTAAACCTTGTTTGTATAGTGTGTAACCACACGTTTATATATATATATATGTTTTTAAAGATATTGTATTAAAAACTGCATGTTGTTGTTCTGTAAGTTAGCCATCTTCTCACATTTGCCACAGAAGCACCTGTATGACAACTAAACATGACGCCACAGGTCCCTCGCATAAATGTAATTTCGCTTGTACGTACGTAGCAAACTTTATCACAGAATGTGTATGTAGTTACAAAATATTGCGCCAGCTTCAGTGTTTGTGTGTGTCTGTGTGTGTGTGTTGCACATCCGGACGCGATTACAACTCTAAAGTACATAAATGTATCATATAACCATACCGAGACGTACTGGTCCATTCTCATTTATGTTTATTCTGCCGGAGTCTCTTCGTACTATTTATATATTCCGATTCAAACGTACGCTGAATGACATTCAAAACAGCGGTTTCTCTCAGTCTCTCAGTACCGGCTGCCATAGGTATCAAGTTACGCCCTCATTTAAAGGCAGGGCGGGCATATGCTGCTCATTTGGATTTAAGGTCGTATACCCCCGAAACAGATCATTTTTAAGCAGGCCCCAAAATGACATTTTCAAATGGTTATAATAAATTAACTATGGGGTATTTTGAGCTGAAACTTCACAAATACATTCTGGGGACAACCGAGACCAATATTACATCTTGTAAAAAGGGGCATAATAGGTGCCCTTTAACAGCTTCAGAGTTATTGAAATGGTTATATGACTTCTTTCGGGTTGAATGGGGGGCGTCTCGACCCCCCCTGGTGCCTGTGAGCGGAAAAATCTCGGCTCGCCGGCCTCAGCATCAGGAAGTATCGCGTGATATCAGCTCTTGCAATGTAACATATTCCTTTGCGGCAACACTGCACATATCCATCAACAAGGTCGAGAAGGATGGAGTTTGTCACACTATCGTCATAGCGGAGCCGGCATATAAGATATAGAAAGCTAGGAAAGCATTGTCGGAGGAACAGAGAAAGAGGAAAGAGCAGACTGACCGAGCGAGGAGTCAGACGCGAGCATAGCCGTAATGTGCGTGTTATATGTCCCCATTGAAACATCGCGCAGCACAGATGTACCAATACAAACAAATAAAACATCTCCAGGTAACTCAGATTCCTTGCAGATTCATTTATTTCGTTTGTTAAATAAGAGGCGATCTGAAATGTGTTGTTTTTGAAATCAAGTGATCAGTTTCAGTGGATTTAGTGTTCTGTTGTGATATTCAAACGGACGCGCGCTCATTGCTCAATCCGTTGCGGGGACTGAGAGACTCATTACGGTGAAATCACAAAACCCAATGCACAAAAAACATGTCCCTGCTTGAAATACAGCCACTAATAAACAATCGGTGTTGATGAGGAAAATAAACTATACTATTAGTAAGGATTAGAACCCAGAACCTGTGACACACATGGCAAAAGTTCTTCATCTGGACCATTATAGTTCATGGTGATATGCATTTAATCACGTGAAAATTCTCACCACTAACAACATATATTAGATCTCATTAAATGACAAATTAAACACAATTTACTATTGTAGACTATGTAACACGTCATGCCCTCCGTGAGTGGTATTTACGACAGTAATGTTAAAAACAAGTACTCCACAGTTACTCTAGGGGTCGCTGTTTGACAAAAACAGCATTCTTGTCTGGTGCCCTTTTAAGTAATATGGAACAATATAGGCTATCGCCATGGTTTGGGGATTATGAAAGTTCTGTGACTTGTGGATTACTGAAGCACGAGTCTGGAGAAACAGGCATTTATTTATTCATTCTTAGTGTTGAGAAACGCAGGGTTGCCAACTCTCACGCATCTGGCGTGACACTCACGCATTCAGCCTCAATCTCACGGTCTCACGCTCAACATAGAAATCTCACGCTAAATTAGACATTCTTCTGGGCTGTATTTTTTTTGTATTACTATAAGCAAGTTCAGGCTCTTAACTACTGACTGGACGCAGAGAAAATGTAAATCATTATTACATTATTATAATAATCGTTTATTGCATCCTAAAAGAGACTGAGACTTTATATCATAAAGTCTTTATATCATAGACTTTATATCATAACTAAAAAGATGTTTGATCACTCTTTAATGTCCAGGTACAAGTCGAGGCTTTTGCTTTGTTGAATGTCACAGTTCATGATTTGAAGCCGGTTAAAACTCGTAATTTTGAGCTCTCAAAGTGCACCAGATTGATGCATTTAACCTTAAAATGTACAAAATTTGCTTCCGGGGGAGCATGCCCCCGAACCCCCCTAGAAGGACAGAGGTCTCAATATAGTTTTAATAAATCATATGGGAAAGAACAATAATTTATGAACTTTACTCCCAACTGTTTTTTAATCAGTAAAACTGTTAGCCTAATGCCAAATTAAAATTGGACAAACTATACATTGTGCCCTACAAGATCTTGTGATTCCCCGGTTGTCGGTTCTATTTCTAGCATGCACACGTTTTCCGAGGATGAACGACTTCAAGCCGAATCTGTCCAAGCTTGTAGCTACGTCTTACAATCAGAGTGTAAAAATATGAGATATTTTTTGGGAAAATATTAAAATGGGAAGGCAGCGGGAAAAGAGCTAAAATACGTGGAAAAACCCAGAAAAAATGCAAAATGGAAAAATAAAAAAACGTCCTGTGTCTGAATTAAACTATAAATTTCTCAGAATCTTAGTACACTGTGTGCAAAATTATTAGGCAAGTTGTATTTTTGAGGATTAATTTTATTATTGAACAACTACAGTGCACTCAGTCAATCCAAAATGTTAATAAACCTCAATCCTGAATATTTGAGGAAGCAAAAGTGAGGTTTTGGCTTT